ATTAACGAGACTGTTATTCCCTTACACCCAGTGGTGCCTAATTCATATATTCTTCTGTCTCGAGTCCCTTCCGGTACCTCTCATTTTACTGTACTGGACCTTAAAGATGCCTTTTTCACTATACCTCTCCACTCAGACTCGCAGCCGCTATTTGCCTTTACATGGGAAGATCCTGACACCTGTCAATCTAGACTATTGACCTGGACAGTTCTACCTCAAGGTTTTAGAGATAGTCCCCATCTTTTTGGACAGGCCCTGGTGGAGGAACTGTCGAAACATTCAACGGGCAAGAGTACTCTCCTCCAATATGTGGATGATCTTTTACTTTGCAGCCCCTCAAAAGAAGCCTCAGTTCTGGACACCACATCCTTCTTAATTTCCTGGCATACATGGGACATAGGGTATCCCCTGCTAAAGCACAGCTGTCTCTACCCCAGGTTACATATATCGGGCTAACTCTAACACCCACCACTAAAGCCCTAATGGCAGACTGAGTGGCTGCGGTTAAAGCTCTTCTGCCACCTACTTCAGGAGCCGAGATACTATCCTTTCTAGGATTGGTGGGGTTTTTCAGACACTGGGTGCCTAACTTTGCCATTCTGGCCAGACTGCTCTAGGCGGCTGCCACAGAGACTCCTACTGGGCTGCTAACTTCACCCACTGAGGTAGCTTCTGCTTTCAATCAGTTGTGGGATAAGTTGCTCTCATCCCCCCCCATTAATGCTCCCCAACTTAACTAAGCCCTTTACCCTATATACAGCAGAGAGGGCAGGGGTGGCCAACGGAGTGCTGGTACAGCTAGTGGGGCCGGGGTGCTGTCCCATTGCCTTTCTCTCCAAACAGTTGCATACCACCATCATAGGGTGGCAGCCTTGCCTCCGAGCCCTGGCAACTGCGGGAAATCTGGACCGATAAGCCCTGAAATTAACTCTCCAACAGCCCATTACTGTGTATTCCCCACACCGGTTACAAGATCTTTTGAGTCATAAATCCCTGGCCTCCTTGAGTCCTTCAAGGGTACAGGAATTCCACCTTGTTTATTGAACATCCACAGGTAACCCTACAAGTCTCTCCACCCCTTAACCTAGCCTCCTTGCTTCCTGTCAGCGATCAGGTGGATCAGCCCACTCATTCCTGTGTAGAGATTGTAGAAGCTCTTAGAAAACCTAGAGAGGGCCTACAAGAATTTAGAGACAGAGTAGGTAGCTCTTGTGTCCCTCGAAAACTGTAACTTGACCTTTTTCATAGATGGAAGCTCGGTGAAGGGGAGTGATGGGGTGTGAAGGGCGGCCTATGCAGTGGTGACTGTCACAAGTGACCAAAGCAAATCTACTCTCATCTGGGACCACCTCCCAGAAAGCCAAATTAGTGGCTCTTACCCGGGCATTACAGCTGACAGCTGGGAAGAGGGCCACAATTTATACTGACTCTAAATATACCTTCCTAATTACACACACTCATGCTGCGATTTGGAAGGAAAGAGGCTTCCTTACCACCAAGGGAACCCCAATCACCAATGGCAGGGCTATCAGCTGCCTGCTACAGGCCCTACAGGACCCCAAAGAGGTGGCCATCGTGCACTGTAAGGGACATCAGACTGGAAACGATCCAGTAATCAGAGGTAATGCATTGGCAGACACCATGGCCTGACAGTTAACATCAGGGTCTAGCCAACCCTCTGTGCTGTTTCTTTCCTCCTCTCTACTACCCCAATACCCCGATGATGAATGGTGACTGCTTCTACATCAAGGGGGGGATGTTGGGAGACCAGGGATGGATATACCTCGGGGATAAATTGCCTTCCCCCAAGCCCAAGGCAGAGATATCCAAAATTCATCAGTTTCTACACATTGGGCCGGAGGTCATGCACCGGTTTCTCTCCCCCATATTTGCTCCTTATGATCTCCGCAAGGCAATAGATCAGGTGCACCAGACCTGCACTACTTGTCATCGCGTCTCGTCTCAAGGTGCTCTGAAGACTCGGATAGCCCTCCACCAGATGAGAGGAACAATCCCTGAACAGGACTGGCAGGTCGATTTCACCCACATGCCTAAGCATAAAAAGCTCCAGTATTTACTAGTTCTGGTTGACACCTTTTCAGAGTGGATTGAAGCTTTCCCTACCAGCCAGGAAACAGCTCCAGTAGTGGCACAAACATTGGTAGTGCATATCATCCCCTGCTTTGTACTGCCTGCCTCGCTACAGTCGGACAACAGGCCTGCTTTCGTCTCTCGGGTCACGCAGCTAACAGCCGAGGTTCTCAACATCACCTGGAACCTCCATATACCCTATCACCCCCAATCGTCGGGTAAGGTCGAAAGGGCTAACAGTCTCCTAAAAGATCAACTAACTAAGCTGTTTCTAGAGGTAAAGCTCTCGTGGCCCGATCTTCTCCCATCGCTCTTGCTTGGCTGTGTGCTGCCCCCTGGGGACCAGCTGGACTAAGCGCATTTGAGCTGATGTATGGCAGGCCCTTCTTACTAAACGCAGGCCTGCCCACTACCTCTCCTCTTTTGGCCTCCTACCTTCCTTACACTGTTGAGAAACCTTCTTAGGGAACACGCAGACCAGCTCCTACCCCAACCTATGTCATCCAACAACCCAAGAGAAGTAGTGATCATTCAGCCAGGAGACGAGGTACTCCTAAGAGAACTCCAGCCACAATCTCTCCAACCCCACTGGATAGGGCCTTATACAGTAATCCTCACTATGCCCTCAGCAGTTAAACTACACGGGCATTCCTCTTGATATCACCTTTCTAGGCTCAAACGGGCACCCAGACACGATGATTGGGTGTCTTGGGAGGTGGGTCCTCTTATGCTGTGGGTTAGTCGTGTCAAGTACAACCAGCCAGATAAATAGCACAGTAGTTCCAAGGCAGAGTTATTCTGCATGGAAGTTTAAGCTCCAACTAACTCTTTGGGGAATCAATCGAGAAGTAGGCACCCAAAGTTGCCCACGTGTAGGTTGTCAGGCACTGATTCAGATACCGGTACACACAGACATCTTAAACACTTTCTCAAACCCTACGCTGTGCATTCCGTATGACCAGATCTCTCATACATGTATTTCCTAGTCCTACATGTATGGGGGATATCATACTGAATTAGATACATGTAGAGTTCATGCGGTAGAAAAAACAGCAAGAGGAGTCTCTGACAACATGTTCTTCAGAATACAAGATAAGCTATACATTACCATTAGTGACCCATGGGATCCATGCTGGGAAAAAGGAGTACAAGACAAGCTATACGATAGTTACCAAGCCTCCCCACAGGGCACAGTATATATTAAGAGAGAATGGACCACTGTAAATCCCACTCTCACAGAGGTTCTAAACACCCAGGCACAGATATCAAGTAATATTCTACAAACAGAACAGGCATTAAAACAGAATATTCAGTTGGACCCCTACCCCAACTCCTTACGACCAGCAGGAGCACCTGTTTCCTGAGTCGGAGTCATTGGAGAAACAGTGCTATTTCTTAATGCTTCACATATCCTCAGCAATGTGTTTGTTTCCTCTGTGCCTCCCTCCAATGCCCCCTGGTGGCGGCAGTTCCCGTTAGTTTTGTCCAGGCTCAACCAGTAAACTCTAAAAAGACTGCGGCCTCCCTTTATGTGAGGTAATGATGTGGAAAATAATCCTTAAGCCCGACGCTCGACATAAGACCAGGGCCACCAGAAAACGGCACGAGGAACTATCGTCCCCACTCACCTGCTACCTGACCCAGTGTTCCACCATCTCAGAATTGTCAATGGGAAGCCAATGCTGACAACGGGTAACTGTAGACACTCCAATCTCCCTTCAAGAGGGTGGGTTTTTCTGGTGCAACAATACCCTTACCCAGTGTATCAGCAGCACCACAGTAGAGCCCTGCTTTTCAGTGATGCTAGTTCCCCAATTGACATTATACAACAAACCTGAGGTAAAGCAGGCGATAGATGGATGGTCTATGTATCCAGAAGCTAGGCAAAAGAGGGCTGTCTTCCTACCCGTACTAGTAGGAGTAAGTTGGGTCACTGCAGTAGCCGTGGCCGCCACAGGGGCAGGAGTGTTAGGCCACAGCCTAGTCAGTTCTCAAAGTCTCGCAAGTCAACTGGCAGCATTAGATGAGAGAGTGAGCCTGACCCTGGGAGAAACCTCAACCTCTCTTATTTCCCTCCAGCGGCATCTTACTTCCCTTGCCCAAGTCACCCTTCAAAATAGGCAGGCTCTAGATATGCTTACTGCAGAAAAGGGTGGAACTGTATTTTCTTGCAGGAAGAATGCTGCTACTATATCAATGAGTCTGGGGTTGTAGAACAAAAAAACTACAAGAACTACAAAAAGACCTCCACAAAACATGAGTACCTGAAGGCAGCTCTTATGGGTGGCTTCAGTCCCCCTTGATGGCCTGGCTAATGCCTCTGCTGGGCCCCTTCATAATAGTTTGTGGTTTACTCTTAATTGCCTCATGTGTTTTCAAGTTCCTTCAACAGCGCATGGCAGAAATATCACACATAAAGGTCAATCAACTGTTGCTGCACTAGTACTCGCCCCTCCTGACTGAGCCTCTTCCAGCCGTCAACCAGCCTTAAACTGTACCCCCCACCACAACACCTCTTGTCAGCCAGAATTAGCCAGATTGAGTCATCGCCCATTATGACCAAAAGGCTGGAATGTAAGGCTGGAGGCACTAGAGGGAGAAGGGCAAGGACAATGCAGGCAGAGCAGAGACAGCACCAAGCAGCTCTGTGCCGTATGAGAAAGGAACAAACAGCTCTTCGTGTATTCCAGTCCCATGATGTGCTGACAAACCCCGGATGCAGACCCCCTCCATCCAGAAGGAGGAGACCTCTGGCTGTCCATCACCTAACCCTGAGCCAATAAAAAATTCCCCACATACCCCTAGCATGGCCCACTTACCCCTCCCTTCCCTGTTCTCTTAAAAACTCCCTGCCTCCCCTCCTGGGCGTGACTTCCCTGGCCTGTGATAGCCAGACCGGGAAACCTCACCTGGGAATTGCGCTCAAATAAACTGCCTGGCCCTTTGGTGCCTCTCTTCACCTACTTATTTTGGTTGGAATTTATCTTACAGTAAGTCCATTTGAATTTGTTAATAACCTGCCAAGAAAAAGAAAAAAGGAACTGTCACTTTATATTTATTTTCCTCTTTAGCTAGTCTCTATCATAACATAAATATTTTCAACAGGATTCTTACAAGATATAAAACATGTTCATAATAAAGGGTACCATGGGAAACTTATTTCTATATACTTTAAAAAGAGTTATTAATATTTTTAACCATGAAAAGAATACATTATACAAATTCGGGAGGCAAGGAATTTAGGGTCAAACTTGTGGGTAAAATTGAAACATTTCCAGAATATCTCACCTGGTTTTAGTATATCTGCATATCAATAGGCGTTCAGAGGTGGAAAGAAGTATGGCTTTAGTGCATTTGCATCTTTCCTCAGGGGTGGAGAAGTTCATCTCCATATCAATAGGTGATTACCTGGGCAGAGGGCTTATCTGTACCTGAGAGGTGAAGGGGAGGGCTGGTGTGGTGGCTGCTGGGGCAGAGAAGATGGCCTGGGACTGCAGTTTGTGAGCAATAAATGGGTTTGTTCCGGTGATGGACTCTGTAGCCAGCAAGGCATGGTACACAGCAGCCAGTTGCTTCAAGGTGACCCGGACCTCAGCTCCTTTCAATGGTTGTGGCCAGGCTCCAGCCGGCAGCAAGAGCAACAGCTCTTACCTGGTTTTGGTTTTTAGAGGTATTTTGCCCCAGGACTTCCTTTCCCCAGCCTTACAGTTGGCGTAAATCAGCAGGGTTCCTGTGAATGCGGAACCTGTCATAATGGGTGCAACCTTTGGGAGGGCCGCCCCTAGAAATGATGGGGAGAAGTGGCGCTTGTGCTGAGGGACATGTGTCTACACTCATGTCGTCATGGAGGTGCCACCACCGCTGCTGGCCACATTGACCCCGGCCCGTGGCCCGAGCCTAAAGCTACTGCTTCTGCCACTGCTGTTGCTCTTGCTGCTGGCTGGAGCCTGGCCATAACCATTGAAAGGAGCTGAGGTCCAGGTCACCTTGAAGCAACTGGCTGCTGTGTTCCACGCCTTGCTGGCTACAGAGCCCATCACTGGAACAGCTCCGACCAAGTTAATAACCTCCTATTCCATTGCGGGGTAGGTATAAGACTGGACCCAAAGGCCATGGAATGGCATGACACAGACACCTCAAAAGACAATGTGGGCCCATCAGTGTGGCTTGTCTTTCACCTTTGAAGAAGTCAGCCAAGCCCGGAACGAGTGCCCTGCATGTTGTGCAGATCAGCAAACCACCAAAAGGGGCCTAGATGGTCTCTCTGCAGCCTATGGTCGGTTGCCACTTACTGAGAGAGATCGAGGTACCCACTTTATTGGACATGTGTTGCAAGGATGGGTGCAGCAATTAGGAGAGTAAAATGGACGTGGCCCTGGACATTTCAACACATGGATCGGTGATGGCTGGCTCTACCGGCACCTTGGGGAAAAGGCCTAGAAGCTGGCCTTCTGTGTATTCCTGTTATAACAGCAAATTGGCCTCCAACAATCACGGTTATTTGCTTCTACGGTCTTTGTGTCCTGGATGCGCCCCCTGGCTGCAGTTGCCGCGTGATGGCTGGAATGGACGAGCTTTGGACTTAATCTGCATGGGACTTTGAACCTAGCCGAATCCTCTGGCTTGAGAATTATAATTGTGTTGCTGTTGTTAAGAAAATAATGTTTAAAGAGAGGCTTGACTTTGTCTAATATTTGGTAAAAGTTTTGTGAGCAATCTAGCATGATTGTTAGGAATGAGTAAACAAGTGTAGAAACGTATTTTTGTGCTTAGTGAGAGATTTTGCTGTGAAGGAACCTAGCTGAATCCTCTGGCTTGAGAATTATGATTGTGTTGCTGTTGTTAAGAAAATAATGTTTAAAGAGAGGCTTGACTTTGTCTAATGTTTGGTAAAAGTTTGTGAGCAATCTAGCATGATAGGAATGAGTAAACAAGTGTAGAAATGTGTTTTGTGCTTAGTGAGAGACTGTGCTGTAAAGTACATTTACTTAATCTGCATAGGCTGAATCCTGTGGCTTGAGGATTATCAAGATTTTATTGCTGTTGCTATTGCATGTTACCAGATTGGTCTGAAGAAGGGGCTCGAGTAAATTGTAAGGCGAGATTTCTGGACGGGTGGATTGTGGGTAAAATTGAGACATTTCCAGAATATCTCGGCTGGCTTTAGTATATCTGCATATCAATAGGCGTTCAGAGGTAGAAAGAAATATGGCTTTAGTGCATTTGCATCTTTCCTCGGGGGTGGAGAAATTCATCTCTATATCAGTGGGTGATTACCTGGGCAACAGAGGGCTTATCTGTACCTCAGAGGTGAGGGGGAGGGCTGGTGTGGTGGCTGCTGGAGCAGAGAAGAAAGACGGCCTGGGACTGCAGTTTCTGAGCAATATATAGGTTTTTAAACTTTATCCCTTTGACTGATTTTGGTTTTTAGAGGTATTTTGCCCTGGGATTTCCTTTCCCCGGACTTATAAACTGAATGAACATCAGTTGTTGAACAGAGATGCTGTTTCTAATAGACTGTCTTAGTATTCTGAATCTACAGCCTGTTAGAAATATAAAGAATCTAGGTTTAAAAAGTCCATATTTGGGTATGACATCAGCAAAAATGGTGGAGAAGGGAAGTCTGGGGCCTTTCTCTCCCCTGGAAAACAAAAATACTTGCAAACTCTTCAGAATCAACTTATCAGAACTATCAAAGATAGTCCAAAGTTTACAGTAACCAAGAAAACTTTTAACTGGGAAAGCACTGAAATGTGATAGGAGAGCTTATCCCTGGAAGTATAACTTACCCCTGACCCAACTCCCTCCCTAATCTGGCAGCAGCCTTGAAGACAAAAGCTAGAGTTCACATTATGAGTTCCTGGTTACAGAAGAGTTAAGGAAACTTTGCTTCCAAGGAATTCTTTGTCTGTTTTGACCTGAGTGCTCCCTGAAAGACTGATTCAAGGGGCTTCCCTTTGTTTTGCCTAACTGGGAATTCTCTCATTGGGATCATCAGCTGGTTTCTTATCAAAAACCAGAGGACAGAAAGCAAAGAGGATATAGCTTAGGTGCTGTAGGAAAAAAATTCCAGCAAAACAATCCTTCAAAAAAATGAAGGAGAAAGTAAAAGATTTCCAGAACAACAAAAGCTGAGGAAATTCACCACCAGAAGACCTGCTTTACAAGACTGAACTAAAGGAGCCCTTCAGGCTGAAATGAAAGGACAATAAACAATAACTCAAAACCATATCAAGAAATAAACAATACTGTTAAGAATAACTACATAGGTGAATATAAAAAAACCAGTATTATTGTACTTTTGGTTTGCAATTTCTTTTTTTCTACGTGATTTATAAGGCAAACACATAAAGCGATAATTATAAATCTATGAAGTATAATGACATTTGTGACAATTATAAAAAAACTGAAAATGGGGTAGGGCAGAGATGCACAGAAGCAGAATTTTTGTATATGTGAGGCTAAATTAGTATTAATCTAACAAATTTTTTTGTAAGTTTAAGATGTTACTTGTACTTCCTAGGTTAACTATTAAGAAAACTAAAACACATACAGAAAAGTAAATGAGAAGAAAACCCATATGGCATATTACAAAAATAAGTCAATTAACCACAAAAGAAGACAAGAGGAAGGAATTGAGTAACAAAAAATGAAGACATAGAAAACAACAAAATGGCAGAAGTCCTTCTTTAGTATTTATATTAGTGTAAATGGATTAAACTCTCAAGCTACAAGACAGTTACTGGCCCAATGCATTAAAAATGAACAATAATCCACAAGCATCCATAATGAAAGGCTTTAGATTGAAAGGCATAATAGGTTGAAAGTAAAAGGATTATAAAAAACTATTCCATGCAAGTAACAGCCCAGAAGAATAGCTGTACTAATATCAGACAAACAGGTTTTAAGTTAAAAATTGTTTTAAGAGACAAAGACCATTATATATTGATTGAAAAGTCAATCCATCATGAAGACACAACACTTATAAACTTGTAAAAGTACAGCAAAATATACAAGCAAAAACTGACACAATTGAAGGGAGAAGTAGACATTATATAGAGTTGTAGACAGACAGTTGTACATAAATCAATACACTGTTTTAAATAATAGATAGAACACCTAAACAGAAGAACAGTAAAAAAGAGGTTTTCAGCAACACTATAAATCAGCTAAATAGAAAAGACACTATACAATACTCACTTGATAACAGCAGGATATTCTTCCCAAGTGCACATGGAACATTTTCCACAATACATACTATGTTAGAGCACAAAGCAAATCTGATATATTCTAAAAGATTGAAATCACACAAAATATCTTCTCTGACTTCAGTGGAATTAAACTAAAAATCACTAATAGAAAACTGGAGAATTCACAAGTGTGTGGAAGTTAATTAACATACTCAAACAACCAAGGTGTTGAAAAAATATAAGGAAATTACTTTGAAATAATGAAACATAACGTACTAAAACTTGTGGGATGCAGTGGAAGCAATGCTCAGAGGAAAACTTATAGTTCTAAACACCTACATAAGAAAGATCACAAATCAGTAACTTAAACCTCTATCTTAAGAAACCATAAAAATTAGAGCAAACTAAATTCAAAACTAAAAGGAAATAATAAAGAGCAAAGATAAATGAAACAGAGAATAGAAAAACACTACAGAAAATGAACTAAATCACAAGTTGATTCTTTGAAAAAAATTAACAAATTAACACACCTTTACCTAGACTGATAAAGGATGAGTCAAATTAGAAGTAAAAGTGGGGATATGACAACTGATCTTTTAGAAATAAAAGTAATTACAAGAGAATACTATATGAACAGTTGTAAGTCAACAAACTGGATGACCCAGAAGAAATGAAGAATTTTTTAGAGACACATAAACTACCTGATTCAAGAAGAAATACAAAATCTAAATAGACCTCTAACAAGTAAAGCTATTGAATCAGTAATCAAAAACAATCCAACAAAAAAAGCTCCGCATGAGATGGCTTCATTGGTCAAGTCTACCAAA